TCTGGAGTCTACCTATTTAAACAATTTACTGGGGATTAAAGGTGGAGTAGTTCTTGACATTCTTATTTCTTTTCCTGTTTTGTACTTAGGAAATTGTCCTGTTAAGCAAATTACAAAAACACGAGGTAGTGCCTAATTTAGAAACTTAGAGACAAGATTAACTCCTATTTTTATTTTTTTAAAAACCTTTTTCCTCTTTAAACTCATCTTTTAAAAGTTCAGCATTGACAGACTTTGTCATTATTTGTTTTTTCCTCCTTTTTGTTCTCTCCGTTTTGCACTGTTGTAAGGTACAGAAGTGTGGGGTCAGAGGTCCCCACCGTGTTCTGTCCGGAAGATGGCTTTCCTCTCTGTAGCCACCTCCTCTTGCTCCAGCTGTGGCTTGTACTATTAATTTGCTGTATTAGGAGCCATGACATTAATCTACTTGCAGATTAATTGAATGACACAAAGGATCTTTCATCTAACCATCTCCTCTCCCACATCGCTAGATCAATGGATTTAGCCATTAGTTGAAGCATCTCTTAATTGGGGCGATGTGTAAGGTAAGGAGTTTTTGCTAGAGATATAAAGTACTTTGGAAAGACAAAAGAAAATGCTTAGGTTTATTTGAAAATTCTGTTCATCTCACTTTAAATTGCAACATATAACAGATGACACTAAGCAAAATTTTAATAGTCATAGAAAATAAGATCTCTTCACATAAAGAAAATGGCAAGAGGTTTAATGAGCTTGTATTCAAACTCTGCCAGTAGCTGGTGCGACAAATGTAAGCAGGTTATATTAGTTGTCTGAGCTTGGCTTGTTCTGTAAAATGGGACTAATAATGCCTGTGTGATAGAGTTGTGAAGATTAAATATGGCATGTTGTGTACATGTGTACCAATCCACCAAATTATAGGTCTTATTATGGAGCCCAAATCTAAAGGAGCAGGCAGGGAACATCTCGTCCCTTCAGTGAACAGTGGTGGTAAATTTGACACCTTTTTCTAGAGTGAAATCACTGGTGTGTAAGCTACTTATAATATACGAATATGATTTGTGAATGTTACTTCTCAAGTTGTTCAGACACCCAAGCATGTGTTCCTGTTCAAAATTCACCAGCCTTGAAATTCTGGATTGGGTGAGCCTCTATCATTAGAGGAATATTACGTGGTATCTGCTTTCTCCTTTAATTTTTTGCGGAAGCAGTTCTAAAGGCAAGGTCCTCTCAGTGTTTTCCTTGTCACATTAGGATTTACTATGCCAGTAGAGTTGCAAAATAATTTTGTTTTTTATGACCAGTTAATTCTTAAAATGCTATTTAAGACAATCATTGATATTTGAGGGGATGTGCAGTAGAACTATTTATTTGCAAATGTACAGGACTGGGCCAGATGGGTGTTTTGTTTTGCTTTTGTTTTTAATTCTTCACTTATTCATGGAGTACCACCAGCGACAATTACATTAATTACAGCTTAGACGTTCTTTTTGTTCTCAGTGGAAGGGCTGTTATATTTTGTTTGGTTAGGAAAAAAACTTGGTAATTGAAGTGGGAAACTAAATTTGGTTTTTAAAAGCTTTATTGGGGGGCGCCTGGGTGGCTCGGTCGTTAAGCGTCTGCCTTCTGCTCAGGTCATGATCCCAGGGTCGGTCCTGGGATCGAGCCCCACATCGAGCTCCCTGCTCCGCGGGAGGCCTGCTTCTCCCTCTCCCACTCCCCACCTCCTTGTGTTCCCTCTCTCGCTGTCTCTCTGTCAAATAAATAAAATCTTTAAAAATAAATTAAAAAAAATAAAACTTTATTGTTTTGAGATTTAAAAATTAACCTTTTAATGCTGACATTGTGGTTAGAAAAAGAAAGGGCGGGGAAGGGTTTGAGACTTTTTTTAGGGCAGTTTGGAGAAGACATGTTTCCATGTGTCCTAAATCATCTTCTCTACCTACTTAGAAACACTGGGCAGTCTTTTGAGTGAGACCCCAAACTGAGACCCTGACCTTGCTTTGGCTTACTTGCCTTTCTACCACAGAATCAAGGAAAACTCTGACAAAATTGTTTCTTAAACTTTTTATGTTTGCCTTGGTGTGGTAGGTAGAATTTCTATGGTGGGGGTAGGTTCTAAGACCCCTGCCCAAAACTCTTTCCAAAACAGAAAGGACCACACCTACCTGTCTTCTAAGAGTTTCCCTCTTGGCACTCATCTCCTGTGCCTAAACGTGGTCCCACCATGCCTTGTTTTGAGTCTGTAGACCGTAGGACCCCAGGGCGCTGAGAAAAGAAAGATTCCCGGAGGAGGTCCCTGAACATGACTGAAAGGAGAGAAAAGAGCACACACCCTCACTTCACACTGGGCTGCGCCTGCTGAAACAAGCAGTTTTTGGTGGGAGAGGAAAAGGAAAAGAAAGTATAAGGTGTGGTTAGATTTCTAGCCAAGAAGTAAGGGTTGGGTGCGGGAGGGTGTCAAAACAGAATGTTGACCCATCCCACACAACCGTAATTTCTCCCCTCTTTCAAAAACTTGCCAAAGTTCATCACCACCCACAGTGAATAAGGTGGGGCCACTTGGGAAGGGTTGTATTCCTTACCCGCATGACTTCCAGAGCCAGATGCCACAGATGAGGCCAAGCAGGGACTAGGGTAGGGGCCTCCCAGCCAGTGTGCTAAGACTGGTTGCTGGGTCTTGGGAGCACATCTGTGCTTTTCCAGATGACTTAAGAGTTTTGCTGAGTCCTTCAATATACTTTTGTTCACATGCATGGTCTTTTGATTTATGATTTGAGTCTGTTTCTTGAATTTACAGATTGAAAATTCATATCACAAAGATATAAAGGTAACAAATGCCACTCTGGGACTCATCCACACACTTACTCTTTTTCTTTTCCCCCACAATTTTTAATAGGATTTTTTTTCTTAGTATTTAAAGCAACTTGAAAACACTTAATGGTTTTAGGTGAATTCGCTGTAGATAAATGTATGACTCTATTTTATGGAAAAATAGATCGTGAAAATAGTCTATGAAAATCCCCCCTTTTTTTACATTTACAAAAAATAAAAAGAATATCAGTGATACATCATTAGTAGTAATATAGCCATTAAAGTCATTTCCATTTTCTATCTCTTGCTCTTCAGAAACTTATTAGGACTTCTTTTCCTCTCCGTTTCAGTACGGTACGTGTAAAGTCCTTCTCTGTTGCAGAAAGGGGCTCTTTAATGTTGGATAAAGGGAGTGTTTGATGTTGTTGCTTTCTAAAGAAACATTTGAAAGACTATTCCTTTGCATATTTGTATGTTCCATTTTAATGTCACTAAAGTGCTTTGGTTTTCTCAAAAGAAGGACATCACCTGAAGTACACATTTCCTATAAAAAGAATAAATTGCTGGGCGCCTGGGTGGCTCAGTTGGTTAAGCGACTGCCTTTGACTCAGGTCATGATCCTGGAGTCCCAGGATCGAGTCCCACATCGGGCTATCTGCTCAGCAGGGAGTCTGCTTCTCCCTCTGACCCTCTTTCCTCTCGTGCTCTCTATCTCTCATTCTCTCTCTCAAATAAATAAATAAAATCTTTTAAAAATAAAAAAAGAATAAATTGCTAACATTGATTTTTTTTTTTTTTTTGAGATAATGGTTTCTATAGACCCATGTTCAGGGAAGCCCAGTAGAAGATTATATTGAGTCATTTGGCCCTAAAAGCCTTGAGTTATAAAAAGAACTAACAGGATCAGTAATATTTATGCATAGCACATTATCAGAGATGGCTGGCTGGAGCTGGAAATCGCATTAAGTATTTTATACCATCAATCAGATAAATGACATCACAGGCAGAGCCTTCAGCTTCCAGTGACCTGCTCCTAGCAAGTCACTGACATCTGCATGTTAGGCCCACAATGCCCACTTATGTCATCACCTACAGCTTGTCCATCAGGCCAACTCACAGGTTAACTTCTTTGAATCAACCTGCTGCTTGGTGAGGGGGGCGGGGGGGCGCCTTTTCTTCCTAGTGTGGCTCGACCAACTGATCCCCTTCTCCCTACACCGTGGAGTCTCTTAACTCCTAAATGGCAAGGGGTTTTGTTTTTGTCTTCGTTCCTAAATAAGGGGTGGGGCAGAGGCAGCATAGAAATAAGTAGAGGTGGGGGTCAGGAGATTCTAGCCAACTTTTTCTCCAAAGGGCCAAATAGTAAACATTTTAGACTTTAGGGTCTGTTGGAGCTACTCATTTCTGCGGTTGCAGCAGCCCTACAGGGTATGTGGATGAATGGGCTTGACTGTGTTCTGATTAAATGTTATTTACAAAAAGTAGGCAAGGGGCCTTTGGCCTACTGCCCATAGTTTGCCAACCTCTGCATATTACAAAGTAACATATCCCTAAGAAACTGGCTCCGAGATATTCCAGAAGAGAAGTCCTTAAAATATTGTGAGCAGTAGAGCATAATTTCATAAATACATAGTGTCTCAGAGGAACCAAGCTTACTGCCCATTTTGATGTTAAGAGTTGGCATCAGGGGGCTCCTGGCTGGCTCAGTCGGTAGAGCATGCAACTCCCCATCTCGGGTTCTTGAGTTCATGGCATCAAATATATTTTGCATCTCACACGTTCATTTCTTAAAAATTGCTGGTGAATGGAAAAAGAAGTGGTGGACCAGCAGCATCTGTTATAAAGCAAACGCCAGCACTCATGATTAAGCAGAGTGGGGCTGTGCGTGATCATTTTACAGGTGCCCTCCGGGGACATGGAGCCGAGAGCCGGGTGGGTACAGAGGGCCTGGTTTCCAGTCCGTGCGCTCTGCGTCAGACCCCGGGCCTGGGAGTCAGCCCTGGGCTGTGGGAGAGCTGCTCAAGTTTCAGATGTGTGTGTTTTGTTATCATCTGCTTAGAGTAAAAGTATTATTCTGTTGTAACAATTCTGATGATTAATTGTGATGATTTTTTTCTGTAGGAATTGGATAAACCTATAATAGAAATTCAAGTGCCTGTTGAGTAGAATTGGCCTTTTTACTGTTCCATGTGAACTATCTCCGACAGGTTGTCCCTGCAGAAGGACTGGTCTCTATATTAAAGAAGAGGAATGAGGGTGTAGGAGACAATCCTGCCCAGATGCAGCAGAAACCATCGAAACGAAGAGTGAGGTTCCAGGAGATCGATGATGACTTAGATCAAGGTAAAGCACCTGGGGTGGGGGGTCCGTCTAGCACTGAGCTGCTTCTCTGGGTCAGCTAAGAGTATGTTTGGTAATAGGGTTTGTAAAAAGAACATGTGTACTTCATTGCTTTATTATATTCTGTAAAGGAACATGTAGAATCAAATGATCATCAGCAATTCTGTTATTCCTTAGCATTTGGTTCAAATAAGTGAGCAAGTCGTAAACTTCAACTTCTGGCCTCCATATCTCAACTGACGGTCTGCTTGGAGCTCATTTCAATTTCCTGTTTAATACTTTTTTTTTTTTTAAGTGAGCCTGCTATTGTCTTTTTTTTTTTTTAAGTGACCATTAATACTCCTTTGTAGGTCTGAGAAATATTTCTGGATTACAAGGATATTCGGATATTCTCTGGTGATTTTTTTTTAAGTATTTTAGCTTTTATTTATTTTTTAAAGATTTTATTTGAGAAGGAGTTAGAGTGAGAGACAGAGAGAGCACAAGTGGGGGGGCAGCAGGCAGAGGGAGAAGCAGACGCCCTGCTGAGCAGGGAGCCCAACAAGGGGCTCGATCCCAGGACCTCAAGATCATGACCTGAGCCACCCAGGCGCCCCCCTCCGGTGATTTCGTCATGACTCTACAGGAGAAAGTGCCTCGCAGCGCTGTAACACTGCTGCTCACCTTTGACCCCTCCCTCCTGGGCCTGTATGTGTGTGTGTGGGTGTGGGTGTGGGTGTGGTGGTTGCTAGGGCTACCCAAGGCCTAGGTCAATAAGGGTGAGAAGAAATATAGCCAAGAGCTTTTCAGGGGGCTTCTCAAGTTTATAAAATAACAGCACTGCTAAAATAACAGAGTAAACACATACCTGTGCTTTCTAGGCACATAAAGTGACAGCAGTAGAGGTCTCTAAATTTCTACAGAAGAAAGCTTCCAATTTACAGTTATAAAGTAGCCTTGGAAACGATCCCTTCCCATCCCTCCTTTTACCTCTGCACCCAGGCTTCTCCAGAGTGCTTGGTTCTCTGCACGAATGGCACTGAATCGTTGCTTACCAAGAGGAGCCCCGGATGTACAGATGATGTTCCTACGTACTTGGTGGCCATCACATCTTAGCCCAGTCACTTAGCTTCTGCTCGGCAGCCACCTGTGCCTCGAGGCCTCCTGGTTTAGCCACGAAGCTCTAAACAGTTTCAACACCTGTCGATAAAACAAACAAGACAAATGTTTATTTTAAATAGCATATTGAATATTCACATAGAAATATAGGATTATGAAGAAAAACATGGAAAACTACATGTACTAGATGGTTAACATAGATGAGGGGATGGGAGTGCATGATGCCAAAAAAAACAGAAAAGAGGGTGAAAAAAGCTGAACTGACCAAAAAAAACAAAAAAACAAAAAACCCCAAGAACTACAGTAATATTATACTTATTCATTTGTAGAAAAATATATTTGCATGGATGCATATAAATTATCAAACCTATTGACTTAAAATTTATTAAACTAAATTTGTAAATCATAGAAAGTATAATTACATAGTCCTATTTTTTAAGGTTTTTTTTAAAGATTTTATTTATTAGAGAGCAAGCATGCACACAAGCGGAAGGGGGGTGAGAGAGAGGGAGAAGCAGACTCCCCACTGAGCAGGGAGACTGACTTGGTGCTTGATCCTAGGACCCTGAGATCATGACCTGAACCGAAAGCAGACGTTTAACCAACTGAGCCACCCAGGTGCCCCTACATAATCCTATTTATATAAGAATCCTGGGGCACCTGGGTGGCTCAGTTGGTTAAACATCTGCCTTCGGCTCAGGTCATGATCCCAGGGTCCTGGGATCGAGCCCCACATTGGGCTCCCTGCTCAGTGGAAAGCCTGTTTCTCCCTCTCCCACTCCTCCTGCTTGTGTTCCCTCTCTCACTGTGTCTCTCTCTGTCAAATTAAAAAAAAAAAGTAAGAATCCTTAAACCTGTGTCTTTGATCTGGAAGGACACACACCAAAGTGTATTTGCCTCTGGGGTGGGAGGGGAATATGCTTGAGTAGGAGAAAAAGAGTCCCTTAGATTCTTAGATGTTTTTGTGTTTGAATTTTTACAGGAAGAATATATTCACGTAATCCTGTAAAATCTTCCCCAAAAGTCTATTTTGTTTATATTATGTTTTATAAAATGTGGGCGTTTTTTATCATAAAAGTAATATATGTTAATCATGAAAAAACTCATGCAGTAATGGGGCACCCTGAGTGGTGCAGTCCAACTCTTGGTTTCGGCAGGTCACGATATCTGGGTTGTGAGATGGAGCCCCATGTTGGGCTCTGCATTCAGCAGGGAGTCTGCTTGGGATTCTCTCTCTCCCTCTGCCCCACCACATGTGCATGCTCTCTTTTATCTCTTTTCTCTCGCTCTCTAAAATAAATAAATAAAATCTTAAAAAAAAAAAAACAACCTCGCACAGTCATGAAGTAAAACAGTGTCAAGTCTTCTGATCCTCCCTTGAGGGTTTCCCCCAAGTAATAATTGAAGTTTCTTACCATCTTTTCAGGACACATTGTGTATATATGTGTGCACATGTGTATAGACACACTGACACATACGTGTTTTTGGTTTTAACACAAATGGGTTCATTATACTGTTATGTCACTTCTTTTTCATTTAACCATCGATCTTGGATGTCTTCCTATGAGAGAACATATTAAACTTACTTCATTCTATTAAACAATTGCATGTTATTTCATTATATGAATGTCCCATGATTATTTAACTGTTCCATTATAATTGGAATAACTGAGTTATTCTCAACTTTATGCTCTAACAGACTTTGTCAAAGTGAACATGGCTGTAAATATGCTAGTTTGTGATGTGCTAATCTATAGGCTGATTCCCGGAAGTGAATTTGTTGGACTAAGTGATAGGGTCCAGCTGCCCTGAGGCGGTCCTGGCTTATACCTGTAGTCTCAGCTTTGTCCCCGCACACTCCCTCGTCCTCAAACATGTCCCAGTCAGGAGGATAATTTTTTTTTTTTAAAGATTTTATTTATTTGACAGAGACACAGCAAGAGAGGGAACACAAATAGGGGGAGTGGAGAGAGAGAAGCAGGCTTCTCGCTGAGCAGGGAGCCCGATGTGGGGTTCAGTCCCAGGACCGTGGGATCATGACCCTGAGTTGAAGGCAGATGCTTAACGACTGAGCCACCCAGGTGCCCAGGAGGATAAATTAATTTAAAATTTTAATAGATACTGCCAGATCACCTTCCAAGAAGGTTCTGGTACTTTCTCATCATGCTGATCATAAAACTTTTCAGTCTTTTTCCAAATTTAAAAATTTTTAAATTATGAATGATCATTAAGGCTTTCCAACCAAAGAATAGCTATTTTCTTTTTTTTACATACTAATTTTAAAATTATTTTTTATTGTTATGTTAATCACCATACATTACATCATTAGCTTTTGATGTAGTGTTCCATGATTCATTGTTTGTGCATAACACCCAGTGCTCCACGCAGAACGTGCCCTCTTTAATACCCATCACCAGGCTAACCCATCCCCCCACCCCCCTCCCTTCTAGAACCCTCAGTTTGTTTTTCAGAGTCCATTGTCTCTCATGGTTCGTCGTATAGCTATTTTCTAAGTATAGAGAGACTGATACAGACATTTTTATTAAAAACAGTCCTGCTTGTTTTTAAGCAAAATAAAAAGAAATCACTGTACTAGCTAGAACATCACTGTTCCACTAAATGGTAAGAGTAAAATTGAGTAATGGCACCTGGGTGGCTCAGTGGGTTAAGTGTCTGCCTTCAGCTCAGGTCATGATCCCAGGGTCCTGGGATCGAGTCCCACATCAGGCTCCTTGCTCAGTGGGGAGTCTGCTTCTCCCTCTGCTTGCCACTCCCCCTCTTTGCTTTCTCTCTTTCTCAAATAAATACAGTTAAAAAAAAAAAACAAGGGGCACCTGGGTGGCTCAGTTGGTTAAGCAACTGCCTTCAGCTCAGGTCATGGTCCTGGAGTCCTGGGATCAAGTCCCGCATCTGGCTCCCTGCTCAGCAGGGAGTCTTCTTCTCCCTGTGACCCTCTTCCCTCTCATGCTCTCTGTCTCTCATTCTCTCTCTCTCAAATAAAAAAAAAACGAGTAAAATTGAGTGAGATGCAAAAGTGATCCCACCCAAAGACAATTTTTTATTGTTTAATATCAAATTGACCTTGCTTTAAGGTGAGCTCATGATGTGAACTCCAAAGATACTGTAATATTGAGATTGTAATTTGTACCCTAAAATAAGGCTCTGAGCACATCAGAGAAGTACTGCCCTTCTTTTCTTTTTTAATGGAAGTGATTATATTTGTTGTATAAATGAGCTAGTTTTCATTTTAGCATTGACAGGCTCCACAGATATATGTGTCTGTGGTGACTAACAAGTGTTTGTCTGTGGTGACTAGCCGGTGTGTGTCTGTGGTGACTGACAGGTGTGTTGTGTCTGGTGACTGACAGGTGTGTGTTGTGACTGACAGGTGTATGTCTGTGGTGACTGACAGGTGTGTGTGTGGTGACTGACAGGTGTATGTCTCTGGTGACTGACAGATGTATGTCTGTGGTGACTGACAGGTATGTGTCTGGACACTGACAGGTGTGTGTCTGGACACTGACAGGTGTGTGTCGTGACTGACAGGTGTGTGTCTGTGGAGACAGGTGTGTGTGGAGACTGACAGGTGTGTGTGCTGACTGATAGGTGTGTGTGTGGTGACTGACAGGTGTGTGTGCTGACTGACAGGTATGTGTGGAGACTGACAAGTGTGTGTCTGTAGTGACTGATAGGTGTATGTGTGTGGTGACTGACAGTGTATGTGGTGACTGACAGGTGTGTGTCTGTGGAGACAGGTGTGTGTCTGTGGAGACTGACAGGTGTGTGTGCTGACTGACAGGTATGTGTCTGTGGTGACTGATAGGTGTATGTGTATGGTGACTGACAGTGTATGTCTGTGGTGACTGACAGGTGTGTGTCTGTGGAGACTGACAGGTGTGTGTGCTGACTGATAGGTGTGTGTGGTGACTGAGAGGTGTGTGTGCTGACTGACAGGCGTGTGTCTGTGGTAACTATCCGGTGGGTCCCGTGCAGTCCTCACGTGCACTAGCTTTCTGTCAGTGACTCCAGCCCCTGGAGGACTCAGGTTAACTAGAAATGTCTACTTACTGTGACCAGCGAGAAGACAGCAGACACTGGGATTTCCATTTTGCACCAATTTAACCTTACTCTGTTCTCATGTTTGCAGATGAAGTTGGAGGTGGTTCCTGTATTTTACTGGTCTTGCTGTGCATAGCAACGGTTTTCCTGAGTGTTGGAGGAACTGCATTGTACTGTACTTTTGGTGACATGGAGTCGCCCGTTTGTACAGACTTTGCGGACAACATGGACTTCTATTACACTAAGTTACTGCAGGGAATGGCGGAACTGAAACACTGGGTCTACCTCTCCTAGCAGCACTCAAGAGGCACAGGCATGCTGGCAGTGAGAATCAAAGAGTGAACCTTTCTAAATGGCTTTTATTTTCAGAGTTCTGTAACATGCATCCCCTCTCCCCAGCGAGGAGCCCTGGACTTCCAGAAACGGCAGCTTGAAATGGTAATCCAGAGGAGCTCTCAGAATAACCCTGAGCATTGTGGATGGAAGGAATGGTCTTTGGAGAGCACATCCACCCACTCCGTGCTACTTCCTAGGGGAGCGAGCTACGCCCAGCAGAATCTCAAGGGCATTGTTGGAGCCCCACCATTTTTAGCTGCCTTGTCGAGCTAATGGTTAAAGGACACTTGGTTTACATTTGTTGGTCCAAAGACATTGCTTCCAGCCATCATGCAATAAGTTTGTGTATAATCAAAAGGAGTTACCTTATGGTTTCATTGTCTTTTTTTAGTTAACCTTGGGAACTGTGTAATTTAGGCTTTGTACATTATTTCTGGATTCTGTTCTTCATCTGTGAAATGATTGTGTGTGTGCGCATGCACGCGCATGCATGCATGTCTGTTTTAGATGGTTATCATAAGCAAATGCCCGACCCAGAATAACAAAGATGATCTTTATTTGAACCTGACTATAGATGTTTGGGCACAAATAGAAGGCTTAACTGTGGAACAGATGAGTGGTAGAAATCTCGGCCCTGAAATCAGACACTGTGATAGATCTGTGACAATTAATTTGATTAACTAGCCAGAAATTAATCATAGGCCTAGTGGTAAAGAGGAAAAACTAAAGAGCTCCCTCTAAGTCTCAGGCACCCAGCTTCATCATGGATTCAGTGCTTCCTGAAGAATGTTGAGTGCTGGACTCACTTCTCAGTAGGTGAGCACCTGTTAGTATGTTCTGAGAATCTTAAGAACCAGAATACAAAGATGAAGAAGATATTGGTTCCTGCTCTAGATGTTTTAATTCTGGTCTTATGTAAAATAAACTCCTACTTTGGCAAATGAAATTAAATCACGATATATACTTCAGTATTAACAAATCACACATTCAGCTGTTTGAATGTGCATTCACATCATGGGCTTGATTTAGACCTCTTATGGGGCCGTTCAGCGAAAATTCAATCAATCATATCTTAAATAGGTAAGTGTGTGATTTTTGTTTCAATCTGTCAGTTTGGTGGCATTTCCTTTTCTAAGGTACAGTGGTCTAACATTTAGAAAGCCTTGCTTTGGCTTTTTATAGCATAGGCAGCCTTTTAACAGAAACGGAACACATGAATTCTAGTTTTTTAGCAAGTGACCATTATTTCATGTTTTTTGTTAGGATCGTTTGAAAGAAAAAGGGAGAAATTACTTTCTAGTTGTTACTGGCTGGTACAGTACCTCCTGGTGTGTTTCTGCTATTTATTTAGATTATATGACTTTTAAAGGGCTTTTTATATAAGTTGGAAGTCTGTTGTTGAGCATGCGTTCGGTTATCCCAATGCTATGTATTTAATTGCTATGTACTTAGTGTTTTGATTTTCTATAATTTCGGTTCAGTGTATTTTTAGGTTTGTTAATTTTTAAGTTGATGTTTTATTTTCACTTATAATACTGTTTGACTTGTCTCTATCATGTCACCATAAACTGTAATATTTTCAAGAATTATAGATCAAAGATATTTATTTAGAAGTGTACAAGAGAGTGAAATTTAGATTCCTTATACTTAAGGCTGATTTTATTAGAGGATTATTTTAATGTTCTATTATAAATTTTAAGAATTTGTATTCAGATGGTATGTAAACTATGTAAAATGTTGATGGTACTATCTCACGTGGTTCTAGAAAAGATATTCTACCCAAATCCGCTGTGAGGGGCATCCCCATCAGAGACAAACCTCTTCTGTTTAACCCTCATGATTTCTAGTTACAGGAATTTGGTGGTGGGGATTTCTGCCAGTTTTATGTCAAGATAAATCAGAATTTCCCTCCTGTTCACCTCTTTTAGGTCACTATTGAAGTCCTAAATAAACCATAGCGTCACATTTGCTGAAACTGAAGATCTCACACTGGAGCACAAGGACTGAGACAGAATATGGGGTTCTCAGGGGCCCAGGGAGTGTCAGACAAACTGTGTGTGTTCTCATTGCTTCCCAGGGAGCGTGAGGTGAGCTCAGGAGCATATTGATATCTTGACTTAAAATAAGCATGAAATCTCAACTAGAAAAATTAGGGCAACTTTAAAAAATGTAATAGTCATTTATTGCATGAATTGGAATAACTCCATCTGGTGATAAAAAAATTGTTATCTCACGCGTAAAAAATTCATTCCAGTTTTACTACAATGTAATTTTTTCTGCCATTTGAAAGTACTGACAACTATTTGTAACTAATCTTCCCTAAGAACTGTATTTGAGGGTAACAGATAAAGCTTGTAATTTAAAATGACACCAACACAGCGTCTCAGAGAGTTTATTTGAACCCTGGGGTGCTGAGAAAAATTGCTTTAAAGTGACAGTGTGAAATGCTTTGAGAGGTTAGTCTGGCCCCACAAGCAGACGGCCGTCTATTTTGGGAAGTCTAAGAAGTTCCTACGTGAAAGCTCTTCTGGTTCTAAAACCCCTCCCCTATCCGCCTGATACAGTAACTGAAATTTACTCTAAAAACTCATACCTTCGGATTTAAAAATCAAAATCCACTGGGCAGTGACTCTGTGTATTATGCCGAGAGGATTTGAAATTTGAAAGCAGGCCCTGTTTTGAAAGGACAGGTGTGAATTGGGGCATGCTGGGGCAGCGGTGCGGAGCGGGTAGGAATTGAGAAGCCAACGAGGGAAGGTGGGGAAAGAACAAAGAAATCCTTTGGCTGTTAACCCGCTTTGCTGAGAGGCTGGCCCAGTTCAAGGAGAGACTGATTTTTGTCTTCCCACTAATGTGACCTGCCTAACTTGTGGATTTCTATGGGTTTAAGTAATATTAATGCACCCTTGTATACTTCCCCATGCAGTGTATATAGTATTTTCACATGTATTCATGTGATGGTTACATCATGAAACACACATCGCTCAGTGCAGGTTTGTATCTCCCCAATCCTGTCTGCTTTCCATCCTGTCACATTATCTCCACCCTCGAAAAGAATGAGAGCGATCTCATTGATCGGTTGACAGTGCAAATTCTAGTGCCGTCTGCTGTTTTAACAGCCTCTCAATAAAGATCGACATTTATCGAGCCTCATGCACTAGCCCTGTAAAAACTAGGGTAAATTAAAAATGTCCTGAAGGATTCTAGGACAGTTTAACTCTCTCTGAGTTTAGGGTGCTGAGAGAAAAGGCATCTCTTCTCCCTGGTTCTAACGGGAGTAACTGCTAAACTCAACTTTTTGCCTGTTGCTCTAAGATCAGGGCAGAACCACGAGCAGTCTGCCACTGTCTTGCACCTTGACAAACATGTGTGTGCCTGCTGTGTGCCTAGAGCTGGGTGCTGGAGCTCCAGGAACAAGAAATCATAGCAGCTTAAAGAAGTTAGTGTCTGGTGAGATACATGCATTTGTGAAGGAGGAATCAAAATGAAGAAATTGAGGGTCATGCTACCCATGGGAGTAGAAAATTGAGTTCATTCTCTCCTACCAGGTGTCATGCACTGTAAAGAACAAAAGTAAAATTCTAGGGGCTCTTGGGTGGCTCAGTTGGTTAAGCATCTGCCTTTGGCTCAGGTCATAATCCCGGGGTCCTGGGATCGAGTCCCGCACTGGGCTCCTTGCTCAGCGGGGAGTCTGCCTCTCACTCTCTGTCTCTCTCTCTCCCTTTCCCCATCACTTGTCCTCTCTCTCTCTCAAATAAGTAAATAAAATCTTTAAAAATAAAATAGAATAAAAATTATTATTTTTTTAAAGTAAAATTCTATCTAGGCTTCCTGCATAGCAGCATGATAGACAGGAATATTTTCTCACAACCTAAGTTCTGGTAATTACTACTTTTCACTTCTAGTTAGTGTTTGTGGCATTAGTAGCCAGTGGGCTTTCCGGCAGTAGAAAGCTTCTCCCTAAGAACCTTCTTCAAAACTGAAAGCCTGAATAGCACAAGTGAAAACCTCACAAAACTCCAGGTCCAGAAGCTTCCTCAGTAAAATCTATCAATCATTTAAGTGAGATATCATATCCATCCTACAAAACACCTCAAAAAGGAGAGTGTTTCATGGGACGAGATTACTCTGAGACCAAAACCAGACTAGACAATAAGATAGCTAAAGACCAGTATCATTCGTGAACTTAGACACAAAATCCCTAACAAATACTAGTTGATCCAATCTAACAATATACACAAGAGGTAATACAGCATCACGGCCAATTGAGATTAATCCCGGGAGTACAATGTTGTTTTCACATTAAAAAATTACTCAATATAATTCACCATTTTAACGAAAACCGTACTACTATACCAATGAATGCATGTGATTCATACACCATTCATGATAAAAACCCTGAGCAAACTAGGACTTCCTTAACTTGATCAAGGGCATTTCTGAAAAACCCACAGCTAATATCAAATACCTAGTTGAAAAAGACAAATGCTTTTCTTCCTCAGGTCCACAACAAGGCAAAAAGGTTCATTCTGACCACTTCTGTCCAGTGTTGTACAGGATGACCTACTATGACAAGGCAAGAAATAAAAGACATACCGACTAAAAAGGACAAAATAAAACTTTTTGCCAATGACATGATTGTTTATCAAGAAAACCCTAAGGAATCTGTAGAATGCTATTAGAATACGTGAGTATAATGAAGTCATAGGATGCAAGGTCAATATACAAAAAAGTCAGTAGTATTTCTGGGTACCAGCAATGAACCATTGGAACATGAAATTAAAAATCACGAATAAAAGAATCAAAATTCATTTCACTCACAATAGCACCCAAAACACGAAAGACTCTCAAATTTAACAAAATATGTGCAAAACCTGTGCAAAGGAAACTATAAACCATTGCTGAAAGAAGGAGACCTAAATAAGTGAGGAAATACAATCTGCTTGTGGAGTAGAAGACCCCATATCATGAAGATGTCAGTTCCCCCCAGATCTATCCGCAGACCTGACATCACCTCAAAGTCCCAGCAGTGTCTATAAGTGGACAGGACAATTTTAAAATTCATGCAGAGATGCAGGTGACTTAGAAGATAGCCAATGAGGGGCGCCTGGGTGGCGCAGTCGATTGAACGTCGGACTCTTGGTTTCGGCTCAGGTCATGATCTCACGGTCATGAGATCAGGCCCCACGATGGGCTCTGCGCTCTGTGCTCACCTAAGAGTCTGCCTGAGATTCTCTCCCTCTCCCTTTGCCCTTATCCCTCGAGTTCTCTTTCTCACTTTCAAATAAATAAATAAGTCTTAAAAAAAAAAAAGAAAAAGAAGATAGCCAATGAAACCATGAGAACAAAATGGCAAGACATGTACTTCTTGATTTTGAAACGGAGTGGCACAGTAACCAAATGGTGTGGTGCGAGGACAGTTCAGACATGCATCTGCGTGTGCGGGCACCAGTGATCCTCTACAAAGGCTCCAAGATAATTCAGTGGGGCAAAGGAAAGTCTTCAACACCTAAGGCTAGAACAACTGCATGTCCCATTTGGAATAAAATACACTTAGACCTTTACCTCACACATAAAAATTAACTAGAAATAAATGGATCCAAATGCAAACACTAAAACTATAAAACTTCTAAAAGAAAATGAGAAAATCTTTGCAACCTTTGGGTAAGCAAAGGTTTCTTTTTTTTTTTTTTTAAAAGATTTTATTTATTTGACAGAGAGACAGCGAGAGAGGGAACACAGCAGGGGGAGTGGGAGAGGGAGAAGCAGGCTTCCCCGCGGAGCAGGGAGCCCGATGCGGGGCTCGATCCCAGGGCCCTGGGATCATGACCTGAGCCGAAGGCAGACGCTTAACTACTGAGCCACCCAGGTGCCCCGCAAAGGTTTCTTAGAACATGAAATATACAGACCATAAAAGAAAAACAATTTATAACTGAACTTTAAAAACTCGTACTTTTGGGGGGCACCTGGCTGGCTTAGATGGTAGAGCATGCGGCTCTTGATCTCAGGGTTGTGAGTTTGAGCCCCATGTTGGGTATAGAGATTACTTAAAAATAAAGTTTTTAATTAATAAGTAAATAAAAACTTGTACTTTTGAATTACATAGTTAGGAAAATGAAAAAGCAAGCTGAGGAGCAGAAAAAATATTCACAATACCTTTACTGATAAAGGCCTTGTATTTAGAATATGTGAAGATCATACAACTCAATATTATGACAAACAATCCAGTTAAAAATCTTTGGACACCCTTTACAAAAGAAAATACACCAATGGGCACACGAAAAGATGTTGAATATCATTAGTCATCGAGAAAATGCAAATTGAGGGTGCCTGGGTGGCTCAGTTGGTTAAGCGACTGCCTTCGGCTCAGGTCAAGATCCTGGAGTCCCGGGATTGAGTACCACATCAGGCTCCCTGCTCAGCTGGGGGTCTGCTTCTCCCTCTGACCCTCTTCCCTCTCATGTTCTCTGTCTCTCATTCTCTCTCTCTCAAATAAATAATCTTTAAAAAAAATGACTATGGATTTGGGAATGGATTCTTAGATATGACACCGATTCTTAGATATAACACCAAAAGCGCAAGCAACAAAAGACAGATAAGTTTGACTTCACAAAAACTTTAAGATTTTGTTCATCAAAGGAAATTATGGAGAAAATGAAAAGACAAGCTATAGAATGGGTGAAAATACTTGCAGATCAAATATCTGGTAAGGGTTTAATATCCAGAATCTATACAGAACTTACACAATTCAACAAAAAAAAATCCAATGAAAAATGAGCAAAGAGCTTGAATACACGTTTTTCTAAAGAAGATATATAAGTGGCCAATAAACACGTGAAAAGATGCTCAATATCCTTGATCATTAGGGAAATGCAAATCAAAAGCACAGTAAGATCAATGAAATGATACATACCACAACATGGATGAACCTGAACAGCACTACGTCATGAGAAATAAGCCAGACATGAGCAAATATTGTGTGATTCCACTTATATGAAGTGTGGAGAGTAGGCAAGGAAGTAGACAGGAAGTAGAACGTGGTTACCAGGGGCTGAGGGAAGGGGAAATGGAGTTATTGCTTAATTGTTAGTGTTTCTGTTTGGGTGCTGAAAAAGTTTTGAAAGTAGATAGTAATGGTGATGGTTGTACAACACCATAATGCATTTAATGCCACTGAACTGTACACCTAAAGATAGTTAAAATGGCAAATTTTAAAAAAAGATTTTATTTATTTGAGAGAGAAAGAGAGTAAGCGCAAGAGAGTACATAAGCCAGGGGGAAAGGCAGAGGGAAAAGCAGACTCCCCGCTGAGCAGGGAGCTCAATCATGACCTGAGCTGAAGGCAAACACTTAACCAACTGAGCCACCCAGGCGCC